AATTACGATATTTTATTACAATACTTTTTTCATTTGTGTTAATTATTTTTTTTAAGTAAAAACTTCTTTAGATACGTGTGATTTGAAACTCCATGTAACGAAAAAGCAACACCAAAAAGATATAAACCTATACATCTATAGAATTAAGCCCGTGAGAATTTAAGATAAGAACTGCACACATTTAAAAAAATCTTTATTGCATTCCCTTAGTAAAAAAAGGATACAAAGAGCGAACTTAATGCCTAAAGGCATTTTCAACCCGTCAAACCATCGAGTGGTAAGAATTTGACGTAGGTGTAGCAAATGATTGGAAAAAAAAGATAAGAATGAAAACTAATATAAATACACATTATATGTAACAAAATATATTATGATATAATAGCTTTCTAAGTAGAAATCCACAATCACATGTATTAAATTATGTATTTGAGTAATTTGGCAGATAACTTTCTTTGATTATATCAGAAAAGCTACATAGTGTTTAAGATAATAGAATTCGGTAAATAAACTGAGAATTAAACCGTTATTAGAGGAATTTATTATTTACCGTCTATGAAAGACGTTGTAGAGCCATGCTGCAGCTATATTAAAAGTATTGTTGTACCACGAATGGGTCGGCTAGACCGGGATAGACCACACTCATACAAAATATCAGCGTAAAATAGCGGCTCCACGCTGCTGTGTTTCGTAAGGTGCGTGTAGAGAATCGGAGACCCTTTTACTGGAAACGGGGCATTCCTCATGGGTGACAACGCATCTGTATTTTGAATCGTAATCCAGGATAGATGTAGATGTTTATGGGCCACGGCAACCACTTGCCATCAGGTGGACTGTGTGCTCGTTTGTCACCCTTATCCTATACAAAAAAATATACTTTTTTTTAGATTAATTTTTTTTAATAAAATAGTAATGCTCTAATAATAATGATTGGCTGAAATTAATGAAAAAATCGTACCTATCATTCATTACAGCCTATTTAAAACCACTGCTAAATATTAGCCTTTCCCCTATATAGCGGGTTTTGCCATGGTCGCCTTGTTTGGCAGGCGAGCTGGCAACCGCAATATTTTATTATTATGAGTTGTGGTCCAGGAAGATGCTGCTGCCCTTCTCCTGTTTTTCTTGCCCTTTTACTTTACCCAAGGGAAGATATGGGGTAGGGGATTTTTATATGTTGTCACTACACATGTACAACTGACATAACTAGAAATCCCCTTAACTCTGACTGACTGAAACCCCTGACTCTCTTCTTTCTGAAACGGCTAACGTAACTTCAAGATAAGATACTCCTTTTTAAAAAGCCAGCAACACAATTACGATTCTCTTCCTTTTTTTTTAATAGAATGAGGAGGTGACAAACAAGCACTAGATGCTGTGGCCCATAGTTGTAGTTGTATGTATATTGGCGGCGATAGTTTAGCTCGTATCCCCCTCTACTTTAAAAAAAATAAGGAGGTGTGGTGTAAAAATTGCGCCACTAGTGTTCGCGCAAATTCGAAGGCATTCACTCGTCCTAACCATCCATCCACCAAACATGTAAGTAAGGTAGTGTTTTAAGATTAGAGTAGGCTCGAATTCAAACCGTCGTCATAATAAAAAATGCAGGCCTCCTCCATAGATTGTGCCATAGCGGCCACGCTTGGCTTGCGAGTTGGCAACCGCAGTTTTTATTACTTTGTGTTGTTGGACAGATGCAGACGCCCATCTTCTATTTCAGTTTCTCTATGTCGCCTCTTGCGACAGCCACGGGGTAATGGATGCTATACTATTGATAGATGTTAATCTACTTTGAGACAAATGCAGCGTCATAAATATTTGTTGTACTAATTTTGGCTTCCACTTAAAAATCGAATCCAGTATATATATTTTATAGAAAAAGGGTGACAAACCACCACACAGTGCACCTGATGGTAAGTGGATGCTGTGGGCCATAGACATCTGTCCTCGATTAAGAATCAAAACGCAGATGCTTTATCATCCCTGAGCACTAAAATGGAATGCCTCGTTTCCAGTAAAATAGGCTCTCCGGATGTCTATACTCACCATACAGCAGTATTAAGCTGCTATTTTACGCTGGTATTCTGTAAGAGCGTGGTCCTTCCCCGTTCGAGCCGACCCATTCGTGCTACAACGATAATATAGCTACAGCGTGGCTCTACCACGTATAATATCTGAAAATATGGTATGGGATATATGCTTACCTTAATACCAAAAAATATAACTTGCAAGTCTTGAGGTTTCAGGTACGGTGTGAGCGGTCTCAGGAAGTATTTAATTATTTTACTCAGTACGTCTACGTAATTGCATTCCGTATCCACTAGCTCCCTTATAACATAATCACGTTTCTCTAGGCTGTGCGACGAGGTTGCAAGCTGGAAATATATTTTAAAAAAAAATAAAAGACATCGGTCATCCAAGTGAAAGTAGAAACAAGCAGTACGTCAATTCCAAAATTTATAAAAGAAAAATTAACCATTCTAAGCGCAATTCTACGAAACATTATGGACAAGCTGTCTCAAACTACTAGGTGAATGAAAAATAATGATACCAGAAATAATGAGCGAATGAATAATTCAAAGTAATGCACGGAACGTCACGCCGAACTTTTACTTGTCCGTCTGCGTCGCGATTCCGAAGTCAGGCATGAAATTTCTTTTTTCCCACATTTCGTCACACCGAAAATTGTTTAAAATTTATCGACAACATTGCCAAATCGTTATTTGCTAATGTTTTTACTATCAACTGACGATTCGTCTTTTACTTAAGCTTACTTATGTCGGAAGATTGACTTGCATATGAATTATGAAACGACGGATTTCAGAGTACATACAGTATTTTATTATATCTGGTATAATTATGACTATATCTACTATTAATGCTCTCTATAAATACCAACTAACTACAGCTACTAAGAATAAGCAAAGTGCATATACTGCCTTATTTAAAAAAATTTATTTTTTCGTAGCAATATTTTCAGTAATACTATTTACATCGAATGTATATTTTTATTATAACACAATTACAACTTTTACTCGGCATTGGGCCACTTATTTATAATAACGAATAGCGATTTTTCACAATTTGGCAGTATTGATGATATCATAAAAATAATACTCATGCGGAATCCCTTTCCCGCCTAAATTCACTTTAGTAAAATAAATTAATGCTTATTCAAAAAGCATTAGTAAGCACCCTTTAGTAGCGTGAATTGTTCTAAATAATGACGGAATGCCGTATGCGACCTGCAGTTACGATATAAGGGGAGCACGGGGGAATCAGAGCCATGGTGTTAGGGTTGCCAGATGGTCGGGATTCGCCTGGATTCTCCCGACATTTTAAAATTTAAATGATTTCCAGAATCCCGACAAAACTCAAAATCTCCAGACAAGCAGCTTCTCGGAAAGTTAACGTATGACCTTTGATTTAATAAAAGATGAGTTAGTAATTAGACTGAATTTTGAAGTTAATTGTTTGATTTTTAAATATTTTCTGAATACTACTAAAGGATCCAAATTGATGGACTTTAGTAAAATCCAATGCAATAATATACATGTGGCAACCTAAAAATTAAGTGTACTTATATTAGTTTCGTTTAAAATACTTTTTGTAGCTTCTTACTTACAAAAATAAACTTTTTATTTTTAATATTTATTTCTCCCGACAACAGCCGCAAAATCCCGACATTTTCATAATTTGTCCAGATATTTTGGTCTTCCCATCTACTAAACCTACATGGTGTGGTAAGAGCTACTATCTTGTAGGTGTATCAGTACATGGAATATGGTGTTTTGTTTTGGTATAGCGCAAATGGACGCGAAAGGAGTATGCAAGTACATATCTTGTAGCATCGACTCTGAGATGACTTTTCGTGTCCAAATATGCTGCACAACCATTTTTTGCTTCTTAAAGGTTATAATTTTCGACAATCTTTGCCGACAAAAACAAGTATTCACAACTCCATATTAGTCAATGAGATCGACTGGGTGTTAAGCATATAATTGAAATTTAAAAATCAAAGAAAGTAAATATATATATATATATATATATATATATATATATATATTTAATCTAATTAATTTAAAATATAACTAATAGTACAGAAAGAAACATTAATCTTTACATTTTTCGAACAAATTAACTTTCCCGCTATGATATCTGTCAAATACTACACCTCATTTATAAGTAGCGCCGAGCCGCCCTTATGGCAAAAAAAGTCGTGGAGGCCCTCATTGACGAAGATGTCGAGTACAAAAAACCAGTCTAATTGTAAAGCTCCTACATTTTTGGAAGTCGAGTGACTCTCTGGGGTAATGGGAGTCAAATGGCTTTCATTATCGCCATTTCAAATTATTTCTTAACACAATTTCATATACCTCGAAAATATACATAAAAGAACTAAAGAAAGGTGTCAATGGATTTTGGATTGGAGAGTGTTTATGTTAGGGTTATTATACTATGGGCGTTAGAAAAGGCCATACTGATTTGAGGGATTTTTTCAAAAGAAATTCTCAAATTCGGAAACCAGGTGAACCAGTGTAAACAAAATAGAAATCGATGAATTTAATTACACCATAGTCTGTGGTTCTTATTAGCTTATATCCTAGGTAGTGTCAACTTAAGTCTAATCCTAGGTAGTGTTAACTTTTTGAATATGAATAATTTATATATTATTCGTTATAGCTAGAGATATTGTTTTATTTTCGCTGTTGTTCAATTAACGTAATCGTAAAAAAAGTTGTTTAAGTTAATTGGTTGTAGATTACAATATACGAAACATCATTAAAAAGCATATTAAAATATTGATAAAATTTAAACAACTAACAAAAGTTATTATTGATTTTCCTTAAATGACGCCAATTCCCCCGTGCTCTTTCAAACATTACAAATTTTATATAAAAGTTATATTAAACAGTATTATTTTTGACCCAACATTTGATCGTCGGCAGATCGTTAAAGGCAGAACATGCACTTTGTTAAAATTAAAAAAAAGTGAAACCAAAATGGTGGCGGCGTACAGCGAAAGCGTTGTTCTGCAGCGTGTGCGCGGCGTGCGCGACCGGCGTGGGCGTCGGCGCGCTCTTCACGGCGCACAGGTCGTGGTAGATCTCCTCGTCGTGGATACGCGCGCAGTAGCTCGCGTACTCACCAACGTCGCCGACGCCCGGCGGGCACGCGCCGCCGCTGAACACGCCCGTTCACATCACACGTCACACACGCACAATTCGATTACGCCCTAACTGCTTGTTTCGTATGCCAGATATTAACACGCTTTTATTAACTTCGCACGAATCTATCTATGTAACGGAATCTTTTAATATAATTCTCACCAAGTTGTAAACGACTCATTGACTTGAAAATTTACATCAAGGACCGATGACAATACAGTAATATAATAACTGTATCCTAGTAACCTGATCACCAGGATAAAATAAAGTAATTATCAAGATCAATATATGGCCTCTTCTACTGAAACATCTAGAATGTTCGAGTACATGCCGGTCCCGACTGACTAGGTGTAGAAAGTTCTAGTATGGTAATCTCTAGAAAGATATTGACTCTCCTAGTTCTGCTACTCGATACTAGATGGATCTAGTGGTGACTCGCCATGTACCAGGCATTAATAATGGCGCGCAACAATATAAACATTAGGAATATTTTAATAGTTGTTTAACTTTTATTAAATCTTTTATTATTTTGACGTAATACGTCTTTAAATTTGCTTCCACAGTGGGAGGCAAGTTATAAAACTGATGATAATAAAATAGATGGATACAATTTGATGTTGCAGCTACATATCTATCACTTACATCCAAAATTTAATTACACCACTCGATAGCTAAAGGGTTAGAGTTCGTTACGTTGAGTGAGGACTGCGACGCATCGCGCCTCCATTTTGAAATCGTTTCGTTACGTAGTACGTACACGTATTCACGTAAATCACACGACCGTGTCTCACAATACAGCTACACCCCGATTTTCGAATTCACAATGCTGTGTTAGTAGTAAAAGTAATACTGTAGAAATCCGGTCAATAAGAATTATGTAAAAGACACTCAAGGATAGGATGAGTTTGAGTGATAAGAAAAAGTCTGATTTGCAAGAAGATGTTATAATTTGGATTAAGAAAGGAATATTTCGGAAAGAGGAACGTCATTCATTCTATCTAAACATCAAAAATATGGAATGACAAAGCAACTTTATGCTGCAGAAGTCGAGTCAGTAAGAGATGCCCTAGAGCCCTAGACGAAAGTTTATAAACCAAATTGGCGATGTATAGAAAACGGGACAAATTAAGAATACCTTAAATCAATGAGCATGTTAACCTAGATGTATGGATGTAAAAGAAGCGAGGGATGTATGCCAGAATCGTACCAAATGGAAATATCTAGTTAATCTCTGTCTACCCCTCTAGGTGACAGGTGTGAGAGTTGATGTTTTATATTACGTAGATATCGCGGTTTACACGAAACTTACAGTAAAAAAATGATAGATCATTTTCGGACTGACATCTGCAATACGAATATAAAATAATTAAGCATATATTGTATAATTAATTTAAAAAATAACAAACACGCCCTCCTCCCCCTCTCCATTAATCCATTTTATTGCTTTATTTTAGTAAAGCACATGTCCATTTTGTGATACTGGAATGCGTTCATAAATTCGAAAATACTATAAATGATTTTAGATTTTATCCGTAAAAATCTAGTATTATTTAAATGTGTAGTGTTCGCGTAAATATAAGTAATTACTATAAATGTTATGGTTAACATACGCTTTATAGCTTTAATAGAAAAGGAAAGAATGAAAAAATTGTGATGTTTTTATGTATAGATTTTTAGAGCATTTCGGAGTACTTTTTATTCTACTTCTTTAAAGAACGTTACCCGCACAGTAGGTTTTCTGCATCGTGGAGGCGGCTGACATCCGTAGATTGGGACTAGGAAAATCACCAAGAAAAATTATTTTAAGCCATAAAAATTACCAAACTCTTGTTCCGTGGGATTCGAGCCCGTGTCCCTACAGCATTGCGACCAAACGCTTAGCCACTGCGCTACGGTTCCGTCAAAAAAATTAAAAGCCCGTATAGTGAACACTAACATAGGTTTCGATGATACATTTGTAGTTAGCCTTTAGATTTTCTCTTATCCTCTTTATTAATTCATATCATATTCATATCAAATTATACTGCTAAATGTGACATTCCTACAGATTTCCTCATCAGGGAGATATTTGCCATAGTTACGCTTGTAGCTGGATTGGCAGTCGCAGTTTTTATTACGTGGACGTTGCTGCCATTTTTTTATAGAATAAGGGTGGTAAACGAGCACACAGCCCACCTGATGGTAAGTGGATGCTGTGGCCAATAGACATCTACATTTATCCTCGATTAAGAATCAAAACTCAGATGCCTTGTCACCCCTGAGGACTAAGATCGAATGCCTCGTTTCCACTAAAAAAGGGTCTCCGGATCTCTACACTCACCATACGAAACACAGCAGTATTAAGCTGCTATTTTACGCTGGTATTCTGTGAGAGCGTGATGCTGCCCCGGTCGAGTCGACCCATTCGTGCTACAACCGTAATATAACTGCAGCGTGGCTCTACCACGTATAAGGATTCTCTTGTCCTCACGACATCCATGTGGCGATATGGAGTAATGGATATACTTACAGCGCCACTACACGCGTTATTATTTAATATATTGTAAAGTTACAACAATGGCTTTCATTAAATGCAAATAGTATCTATGGTTATTTTGTTAATATTCATTTATTAAGGTAAAATAACCATTCAAACCTTTTACTGAAGGTTAACGTTACCTTTACAGCCTGTTAAAGTTCACTGCTAAATATTGGCCTCCTTCAAAGACTGCCTCATAGGAGGGGTTGTTTGCTATAGTTGCCACGCTTGGCAAGCGGGGTGCCAACCGAAGTTTTTTTTTATTCGTTATTAGGAAGACGCTGTCCATCTTGTCATTGGTTTGCCCTCCGTCGCCTCATGCGACACCGACGCCTCATGCGATATTCGTACACCACCACTACACGGTACTCTACTATAGGTATATTGAGGAAGGGGGGGGGGGGCTGGTGTTTTTCCTCGTTGTTTCCGGTTAATTTTATTTTTAATTTTCTTTAAAAAAGGTTTTGATACAATTTTCTTTGTTTTGTCTATATACTAGATGACTTTTTTACCGTCTCATGTGAACAGAGTAGAAGCCTATGGCACTGATATTTTGCAAAAAAAAATACAAACAAAAAATTTTGAATTAAACTCAATTAATTTCAATTTCCCGCCTTTTCAGGAGCTTACTGTGCGTAATTTTATGATTTTGTGTTTGTCTTCTTATTTTGTGACTCGGCTTTAACTTTTTCGACTGTTTCTTCTATATTCGTTGAAGCATGTGTCTATGTCACAAAGGATGATTGGGCAAAAGTGGTAGAAAAAACAAATAAATTGATTGAAAATCAAATACATAATGATTAATCTAAACAGCGTCAGCTCAACTAGTTGTAAGTAAAGTCATTGAATAAATTTATTTTTACTCTAGTTTCAATCTTAAATTTTTATAACTATGCCTATAGAAATAAGCAGTAACAATAAATACGAAGAAACTAATAAATCTTGTGTTTTAAATTATCCGGTTTTAATTTATTCTAGTATTATTCAAACCAAACTGTAAATGATTACCAAATCAAATACATAATGATTAATCTAAACAGCGTCAGCTCAACTAGTTGTACGTAAAGTCATTGAATAAATTTATTTTTAATCTAGATTCAATCTTAAATTTTTATAACTATGCCTATAGAAATAAGCAGTAACAATAAATACGAAGAAACTAATAAATCTTGTGTTTTAAATTATCCGGTTTTAATTTATTCTAGTATTATTCAAACCAAACTGTAAATGATTACCAACTCTAAATAATCGATATCGATTTTTTTAAGAATCGAATATTGTACGTTTCCATTTTTTGGTTGGTATGCTTGGTGCAATAAGTCTGACAGCTGTCAAAATGTATTTCTTAGATTTGGTTGAGTATAATTGATTTCGATTTCGATAGATTTTAATTGATTAAAAATTTGTGTTTTTATTTTTTGTAAAATATCAGTGTCATAGGCTTTGTGGCGGCGCTGTTGTCGCGCCGCAAGCGAAACACACCGAAGCCTAAATCACGCTATCAAAATTCCGAATCGTAAACAGTATATATAGAACATCTCCGAACTATCACACGCAAGGAGGGTCGCGTTCGTATACGGCTTAGAGATCTCTCGTCAGATCGGCAAGCCAATCCATAAAGGCGGTGTTTAGTGGGTAAAAGTCTCCACATAACCACGCAGCCCGCTGCGTGGTATGCTATGAGCATTCACCGCCTCCCTCCCCCGCTTTCCGGAGGGTTGCCCATATTTGCTTCGGGCGCAAAAAAAAAACTATCACACGGAGTGTTGGCCGCTCCCCGAGCAGAACACCTCGTCCGGCGGGAGATCTCCCCTTTTCCTACCACGGCCACAGCTTCTACTCCGTTCACATATTACACCCTTTTTTTTTTTCAGATGGTAAAAAAGGTCATCCAGTATATATATTACATACTTTTACTATAGATAGGTACAAAGAAAAATATATTATAAATATATTTGCTGTAACGAATTATGAAAAAAAGCTTTTCAGTATACGACCTTCACAATATTCCAACTTCTGCCAAAAACGACTAAATTTATATATCTTATAGGCAGTAAAGTATGCTCTAGTAAAGCTATATAACCTGACCTATATTTTGAAGGCACTCGAAATACATCATTGAATTAGTCGCTTAGCCGGCGACAAGCAGCTGACCGGGCAGTATTTCGATACACCCTCACTCGATACGTCACGTAATCGAGTATTCGAATTACGCGAGGCATTTCCAATTCCAATCGCATGACAATGCTGTTACGAAATCTATCAATATTGAATTGGATAAATGTTTTTTGCTATGTGCGAATGATTTTACGACACTGTTTGAAATCATAGATATTTAGGTGTTGGCGTTGGTTGACCTTTAAAATTGCCAACGCCTGGAAGTCTTCATATACTTAATCAAACTGTTGTTATTAAAAACGAATAGGATATTATCAAAGGCGTGAAATTTGAATTATATCGTTCAAATTTAGAAGCGTCACGTTTTTCATTTAATCGATTACGCTTAAGTGATTTAATACAAATACAAAACGGAACAAGCTAATAGGGCGACTTC